ACCTGCGGTGTTTCCGGTCGTTGGCACCGCCTTCGGGTTCACCTTCCTTCTGCCTGCGGGCGTCTGCCCACGTGGCGGTCCCGACGTGCACTTCTTCATCTTCCTCGGGCTCTGTGACATCGCGACATCGCTCGGGCCGCCCATGTCACCCTGTGCTGCAGAGCACCCCCGATGCGACCAGGACCACATGGGCCCTCCACCTCACCAGACAAACGGAAAATTTCTGAGCACTTCTCTGTCCTCTTGCTTGGTTGCGCTGAACCTGCCAAGTCATTCTCCGGCAGATACCGAAAGTCTCGCAGGAGTCCATCTGAGTAGGTCAGATGGAAAGGCACACCAAGCGGGTCTCTAAATCTCATGATAATGTCTCCACCATGATCATATGTCATGGGACATACGACCGGGACCCAACCAAGAACGGTCGTGCAACCGCGCCTGCAGCGAATGCGAGCCATGTATCTGTTCTGACCGTCGCCGTGCTCTTGGCCCGTACAACTCCCCTCAACCATGGACCACATCCCCTGGTCAGCCATGGAGTCATAACACGCGCACACCATCTGACGCTCCTCCTCCCTTATCTTCTCCCAGCAGCGCTTTGCGTATTCAACCACCAGCACGTGGTCCTTTACATTCACATTGAAAATTGAGACGCGTGCCAGAACCACGAGGAACTGCCAATGCTCCACAATGCCTGCATGCATCCATCCCAATGTGAGCCAATGCCCTGATTGCAGTCTTGCTGCCATCGTCACCTTGCCATCAACCACTGCAGGATACAAACATCTTGGGACCCAATTAACACGATAGTCATACTTTTCAGGGGCCATATGTTGCTGCAACTATCCTTCAGGGATGACACGGGCCTCAATGTCCATGGGAGACAGAACGTCACTCCTCATTGTGACATAGTCCATCATACGTGGCTTCCTTCCCTCTTGCATGCGTGTATGTGTTGCCATCCTCACCAGTGAAAACTTCCCCAACAACCACCTCCGACTCCACAGGGTTTCGAAGCGGTGGGAAAAAACAGTCGGCAGTATGGGTAGGACATGCCATTGCCTTCTTCTCGTCTTCTGAAACCTCCCTGTCGAGGTGCCTGAAGGAGAAGTTGTCATTCACATAATGCATGCTCCAGACATTTCCCATGGCATCACGCATCATCATCCTCACACGGCCACATGGAATCGGGATCACATATGGCACCCAACCCCACCTAGGATCCCTCCTCGCATCGCTCTCATGGCACGCCGTACTCCCTGTTGCGTCGTTCCCGCCAATCACCCATGCCTGTCCGCAATCAAAACTGTCGTACAAAAAATCGTTCAGCCTGAACTCGCCCTGCGCCTCCAGAACACGCCACATGTCCAATGCATATCGACCTTTCACCTCTGTTGTTGCCCCATCGTTCAACCTTAATACTCTGTCAAACACGATTGACAGAGTCATGTTTCGCCATGTATTCATTTTGGGGGCAAGAAATGGAACCCATGTCCCTTCGACTTTGAACGCAAAGCAGGGTGCTCCTCCAACAATACCCGGTTGAACACTACCCAACACCCAATCGATGTCATATGGGTACTCTTCTCCTGCTGATGTCTTCACCACATTTTCATCTTTCACAATACACCCTGCCAGAGATTCCCTGCTTTCCAGACCTCCCTCCTCTCTCTCTTCCCAACCGTTTCCGTCTCACAAGTGCTCCCTCCTGCATCATTCTCTGTTTCATCACCATCACCCATCATCTCTGCAGTCTGTGCACATATTGTCGCAAGCACCTMTGCACAGTCTGCGYTGTTCYCTYCAGCCGAWTTCCCTTYCTTGCTGCCATCTGCAAAACCCTTCAGAATGTCCTCYGTCTCCATGGCGCATGTCTCTCCACCGTTGACAGTCGATGCAATCGCGGGTTCCATCTATTGCATGAGACACCACRTAYATTTATGAGAACACGTAGCTGCGACATGGCCCCCTCACCCGAGAGAGAGAGAGAGAGAGAGAGAGAGAGAGAGAGAGAGAGAGAGAGGTTCACTAGTGCGGGTCAGAAGGACAACAAACGACACCTGTGGACACTGATATGGCACACAGTAGTGGACCACTTGTGTGTCGTGAGGCAAAAAGTAGCAAACATTATGGACATAAATTTACTCTAAGCCGAAAGTAATAATACAGGCAGCACTTAAACCCACATCATTGTGTGTGTGTGTGTGTGCGTGAGAGAGAGAGAGAGGTTCACTACTGCGGGCCAGAACTCCAACAAACATCTCATGCGAGACAGACATTGGCCCACAGTAGTGAACCTCATGCTGTTGGACAGAGAAAGACGCAGCGACAGAGAGCGGTTCACTACTGCGGGCCAGAACGACAACAAACAGCACCGGTTGACACTGATATGGCACGCAGTAGTGAACCACAAGTAGTTGGAAACGCAAAGATGCAGCACCAGTGAGAGGTTCACTACTGCGGGTCAGAACTCCAACAAACATCTCGTGCGAGACAGGCATTG